GGGACTATTCTATATACAAATATTCTTAACATTATATTTACAAATATCAACAATGATGCTTATTATTTTTCAAGTTCATGTTCATATGTGAATGCATGATTGAATATCATTGAAAACTTGGTTGTTATCTTGCCCTGGACATGAGATTCTCTTCTATGATCAATTGATTTTAATGGGCATATGCTTCATGTTTCTCATACCTTGCTTTGAGTGTTCTTAAACACTTGTTATTTTGCTTTATGCATGAATCACCTTCGAGATGTTTCTCACCTTCCATGATTGAACTTCTTTTACATGATGGTTGTTACCTTCTTGTTTAACATGATTCACCATAATTCACATGTTGTTGTTACACATGTTACACCCCCTTGTTCAAAGAGGTTTTGGTTGTTACCTCTACTTTGATTTGTATCCATGCCTTAAATATTGTTATGATTTATGCATGTTGATCTTGATCTTTGAACTTTACCATGATAAGTAATATTTTGACTTATGCATGATTCTCTTGATTTGTATCTATGTTGTAAATATTGTTATAATTTATGCACGTCGATCTTGAGTTTTGAACTTTGCCATGATAAGTAATGTTTTGACTTATACATGATTGTTTGTACTTCAAATTAACATCTATGATGTTTGGTCTTGTAAAAACCTTATTTCATAGCCATTTAGATGTTGTAACATCTATGTTTACCTTTTGGTTGTAACCATTTGGTTTAATTCTAAACTTCCATGGATGAATACTTGGTTGTAATCTTGTTATTTGTTCTGCTTGATGTTGTCACATGCTTACTTTACTTTCTTGGTTGTTACCATTTTTTTATATCTTCATCATATTTTAATGAATGTATATGTGTGCTCAAGCTTTGATAATTTCTCCCAAGTAATGTAGATTGTTAGCTCTCATCCAAAAGAGTTTCCTTGTGTTCTTAATTCCAAAGGAAAGTCTCTCTATTGACTCAATGTCATAGGTAGCTCGTTTTTGTTCTCAAAACCTCCATTTGACCTTGTTAGAGTCATTAGGACTTCCAACTTATCCTTAAGTTAGAACCCACCACATTTTGACTTTGTTAAGCCAAGACCTGTAGCATACCTTGTTAGGAATCCTATAACTTAGAGCTTAGGTCTAGAGTTTTTAACTCTATGTGTATACCATTGTTATGTGTACTCACTTTTCCCCTTTTGACTTTTGTTAAAGTCAATCCCCAATTAGTCTTTCAACTTAGACTTAGAGAGTTTGTTAACTATATATAAGTATCATTGTTATGGATGCTTATTCCCCTTGAACCTTGACCGTAGTCAAGAGTTCTCTCCCTAGTTAGGTGAACTACAGTTGCTCTAATTCCATCCTTGTTAGGATACGTAGGCACGAGATGCAACGTCTTGGCGAGCATACTTAGTGTACATATCCATAGGTCTTTACCTTAGCACATAACCATTAGCAAACAAACATTAACAAAAACACAATCACCAAACAAGAGGCTTTTGTAGAGTACTACATATACTTAGGGTGCTAATACCTTCCCTTAGTATAACCAATCCCTGAACCCCCGATCTCTTAGCTTTGTTGTTACGTAGCGCACATGGGGTTTTCTTCGATCTTTACCCTTTCCTTTGGATGAATCAAAGCTCGCTGGTGAATATTTAAATATTTGTGGTTCAAGTTAATTAATAGTTTGATATCCGATTCTCACTGCAACACCAAGTATACTCCATCATTTGTATTGTCTCATGCATGACATGTATAACATTCTTGCCCAAAACAAGACTGTCATCAAACCCAATCATTGCACTCATCAACATAATATAATCGTGTGCATTCATGCGTAAGAATCCCCAACAGTTGCATCCTTATATACATCTCTCTGCATCATGCAATGTATAGCATTTCCACCAAAAGTGGGACATTAGATCAGGACAGGATTCAGGATCAATCAGCAAAACATCTCGGTCATTCCTCCTTCAAAGTCGGTTGTATTACTCCAAAAAGAGTTGATATCTCGCACCTCCTCACAAGATTTCTATCCCCCAACAATTCATTCTTCAACCATGCAGTTGATAATGATAATCCTCAACATCTTCGCTTTTGTTACTCCCTAAGCATATGTTATCCTAAAAAGTCTCCTATGGGTTTTTCCACTGCAGAGCTTTGCAGATAAACTTGTTCTTCCTTTATTTCATTTCATTTTCACTGCTTTCTCTTTCTACATTTCATCTCTGCATTTCATGTCCACCTTTTAGGACAAAACTTGGGGTCTTTCTGTATTTAGTTATCTTCCACCAGGAATGTACGAAGACCACCGTCATCCATACCTTCTGGTTCAAGTTAATTAAATAGGAGCATCTGTCATACCCCAATTTTGTCTACCATTCATATGCTTTCGAGTGGCTTTTATTTCAAATAAATGAGATAACACAGTTGGTAAGAAGGTATGTGTAAGAGATTTAATCATAAGGTCGCGGGTTCAAGTCTCATTGCATTACTTTTTGTATTTATTTTCCTTTGTGTGTTTTCATTAAAAAAGGGTTAAACAAGTCATTTTTTCTATTATTTGATTATTATTTTTCGTTTTTTAATTAGCAGTATTTTAAAAAATTAATTTTTTATTTTTAAATCTTTATTTTATGCTTTAAATAAATAAAAAAACTCAAACAAAATTTCAAGACCAATTTAAGATTCATTCCAAAACAAGTCTTAAACATAATCCAAACATGTTTGATTGAAAGACAAAAGTTTTCAAAATCACAAAACATGTTCCAAACATGTCCCAAACAAATTTGAATTCTTTCCAAAATAAAAGCTTGCAACACAATTATCAGCATTCAAGTAGCATTTTAATACCAAGTTTCAAGATGGCTATAAAAAGAGAACAACACACACAATATGAAAAAAATCAAGCAGTATACATGAATTGAAGGAAGGCGAGAACAAATTAGAAGAGAAGAAAGAAGAAGCAATTGCAAGCATACCTGAACTACACGCTATCGAAGATGGGAAATCCGTCGGACTACCTCCGACCAGGTAAGCTTCCATCGTTTTTCTTGTTACCGACTTGTTCTTCATGATGTATTGAACAAAACCCTTTATGTTTACTTAATTTTTTTTACTTTATATTTATTTGTTGTATTTTATTTTTTATATAACATGTTTTATTTAGTTAAAGTTTAAAGTTTAGTTTGAACCTTGGATTATCATTACTACTAGTACCATTATTTTTTTTCAATTAGTTTTTTCTATTTAATTAGTTTAATCTCCTTTTTTTATTATTAACTAATTATTAAGATTAATAAATTCTTACTTTATTAGAGAAATAATTAAAATACAAAAAAAAAGTGTATAGTTTAATTATTTTTAGTAGGTTAATTATATTTGTGAATACATTTTATTTTTTTAATTAATTTAGTATGACAGCATCCACTTTAAATAAAATCATTTAACTCGTCAGTGGTAAATATTTTCCAATACATGTACCTAAATCACTAACTATAAAAATAAAAAAGACTAAAATATTTTTCTTTTCACACTTAAAATCCATCAAATTCATTAAATTTTTCTTTTTTGCTCTGTGCGACAAATCCTTCCTTCTTCGCCACGTGCGACAAATCAACTTCTTTTGCCCCCATGCATTTAATTCAAAACCAAGATAAATCATTTTTCACAAACTAAAATCAACCAACCAATAAAATATGAACTACTGAGTTCTGATTCCCTCTGGGATACGTAGGCACTGGGTTGAAAACTCAGACGAACTCAATAATAAAAAACTTTCATTTTTCCTCAAGTAATCATCCACTTTTTTCCCATAGCAAGCTTATTGATAACAAAAACCTTTCATGCTTAGACAACTTAGATGGTTCCCATCGAGTGCGATGAATGTAGGGAGTGTTAGTACTTTCTCGTTACATAACCGACTTCCGAACCCAACATGGTTGCCCATGCCCTATCCTTTTTCCTTTTGAGTTTTCTTGATATTTTCCCTTTTCCTTCGTGGAATAAATAAAGTTCGGTGGCGACTCTCATAAGTCCATCTGTGATTGTGCAAACCCTAAATTTACGCATCACAAAGATCATATTTTTCGAGGTACGACACAGGTTAACAAGAAATGACAGAAGGTTTAACGATTTCAAATCATTAGTGATAGTTGTAGTAGGTAGAATATTCTCCTAAACTAAGACTATCTCCTTGCATTCAAATGGTTGGGTGACCAATCATTAATTAGAACAAGACATTCTTGATAGTCTTTAAACTAATAAAAAAAATACCAAAGCACCCTGAAATTATTACGAATTTTCTAGAGAAAATCAAACACTTTGTAGGTTAAGACCAACACAGATGGTTTGGTTAAAGGAACCTTTGCAGTCGCGAGGGCAATTGCGAGGGACCATCAAATGAGTTTTTAGGGAGCTTTCTCTGTTAATTTGGGTGTGAGTAATGTTTTAAAAGTGAAACTTCTTGCTATTATGATCGCCTTAGAGGAGACGAATCATAGAGGATGATGTAATGTCTAGACTGAAAGTAATTTTAAAAACAATCCATCATTTTCAAAGATGTAAACAGATGCACAAATAAATTAACTTCTCAGAGTTATGACATCTTGATTTTTTAATGCTGAGATGCATTACCAATTTTCATTATAGATGAATTTTCTAGAGACATGTTAAATATGTGGAATTAAAAATGTACTTAACTTCAACTTTGAGGATTGAGGACTCGCAGTTTGCAGAAAAATTCTAATTTCAATAGTAGTTTTTTATCCATATATTTTTTCTGGAGTAGTACTAACTCCTAAATATACATATTTTTATTTCTTTTATATAAATTTAAAAAATAAATAAAATAAAATTCATTAATAAACAACATGTTCCTCTTTATTGAGAAATCTCTCTTAAAGTGGGCCACTTGATATTGGAACCATTCCAACCCCTCACCTATAAATAAGTTTTTTATCATCCAATATCATCATAGACATTGGAAACCCTAGTTAGGTCTTTGGAGAAGATGAGCGATGATCACAGCAACGTGATATTAAACAAAAAGAATCAAAAACAACCTGCATCTTTATCACTCCGGTCTTCTTCATTTGCATATACAGGCCAATTTCAATGGCAGTGGTTGCCATACATGTATTCTGCTCCTTTCCGACCTTTTCCCATCACTCCAGTGTTGCATCCCTTGCCTTTGCAAATTCACAGTAAGAAGTTGCATTGTCATTGCCAGATTGATCTCGACACAATTGTTCGTGCCGAAGATAGAAGGACTACTTTGATCATTAAAAATATTCCTAACAAGTAAGAACAATCAACAACAACTTAGATCGATTTCTTTATCATAAACTCAATTTAACATCCTTGTGTTTCAATTTGTTTGAAGGTACATTTCAAAGATGATGCTTTATGAAATTGAGGAGAATCACCGAGGGACTTATGATTTCCTTTACTTGCCAATTGACTATAAAGTATGCATTTCAAATTAAACAATTAGGGCTTTAAGAATTTTTTCTGAATAGAATATTATGGCAGAAATGGATTCATTGATCCATGTAGCCGATAGGCGATTCCACTTAGTGGGATAAGACTTGTTTGTTGTTGTTGTTATTTCCTAATGTATGTTTTTGGTTGCAGAATAATGGTAATTTGGGTTATGCTATCATCAATATGCTCTCTCATTTACACATTCTCCCCTTTTATAAGGTTATACGTTGTTTTCCTCTCTCTCTAAATAATTGTTTTGTTAAATTGCATGTATGCCTAACTAGGATTTTGTCATGATAATTTATGCAGACTTTTCATGGGAAGAAATGGGACACATATTTTGGCGAACAAGTTATTTCACTTGAATATGCATGGATTCAAGGAAAGGACACACTCCTGACACATTTTCAGAACTCAGGCTGCATTTGTGAATTGTGCTTCAGTCGCCATTGGCCAATCCTCTTTCATTAATAATGCAAAGAAAATAATGATCAAGAGTTTATTATTTTATTCAATTGTTAGCAATGCAAAGTTTCTGGTTTGACATTGCTTCTGAAATGTGTTGCAAATGGCAAAAATAAGAAGTGGATTTCATATTGAACATGTATTTAGACTTGGAGAAAGGATTTTTTTTATAGGCTTGATGAGTAAATTAGATTAGAAAAAAGATACTTTGATGTATCTGTATTGATTTTTGGAACTTTAAGGTTGTACATCGTGCCAATTTCTTATTGATGTTATAAATTTTTTTTACATTTTTTTATAACTTTTGAAGTAGTAAGCTAGACATGAACCTAGCATGATCTGTTGGTGACATGATTGCAAACCTAAGAATTTATGGTGTTTCTATCAGAACTTATACGAATTTGTTATGCAATGTTTGAGTTGTCATTATCACCGTAAATTTCAACATGAAGCTGCTACTTTTACCTGTGTTGTAAAAGATATATTAATTGGTGAATTTTTACCTGAACATTCAAGGGCTTGTCTGACGGTTTCTCTCCAACATTTCCTATTCAGCAACTTGAATATTATCATTCGTCAACCGGATGGATCTTACTCAATTGATTTTAAAGGCTTAAGCTTTTAGGCTGTTTGTTTTTTCTGTTTAGTTATTTGATTAGAATTTTAAACATGTATTCCAAACGATTACTTCAAATTGAATAAGTCAAATGATTGGTATGACCAAGAGTATAACTAAAGTTACTATCAAAGTAATTATTGAGCATTACTATAAATGATGAAAATAAGATTTCAGTTAGACAAGAGGAAGTATAAGGTTTTAAAATTTTATTATCAGATTAAGGAATGTGGTGTTTAGTTAGTTAGTATTGGGATCAGTTTAGTTGTATTTCTGTTTAGTTAGTTAGTTTAGTTTTTTCTGTTAGTTTGTTTAAAGTTAGTTAGTTTAGTAGTTTTCTGTTAGGTTGTTTTGCTGTCTCATTCTCATGTAATTAACAGAATGGGATCAGTGTAGTGAAGTGTATCTTTTCTTTTCTCTTTGACCAATAAATCCCCTTTCTTGCTAAGTAATTTTCTATCCAGAGAGACCTATCTAGCAATGTCGAGTGAAACTGATGACGTAGCTAGCACCTCGAAGGAGGTGAATAAGGGAAAGGCTATGCTTGACGAAATCCCCGAACAGATGGAAATTGAAACTGATGATGAACCTGAGGACGAAGCTAGCACCTCGATCAAGGTGAATATGGAAAGGAGTAAACTTGACGAAATATGTGCCGCTGTTAACACAATCCCCAAACAGACTGAAGCTGAAGCCGAGGAGATAATTAGCAACTTGCTGATGATGGATACCGGAGATGGAAAACTTATAGCAGATTTCAATAGAAAAAATCATTACTTAGTTAAGGACATGAAAAAGGCTGATAAAGAAGGGAAGTCACCATCACTGAGTGAAGTATTGCTCTGGCTTACCAATATCCTCTTTACTCAAATAGTTGATGTTTACGTTAAAGATGGTTCTGTATATTCTGGGCTCTTCTACTCTATTCTTGAGAATGGTACACTTCTTTCTTTCTCTCTCGTTCATTTCTTTATTTTCTTTTCTTCTCGGCAAATCGGTTTCTGCATTGGTTCCCTCAAATGTTCAAATGGGTTGCATTTTCTGTTGTATAATTTTACTTTTCTGTATATAGTTAGAAACTCAAGCATTCTCTTACTTTATTGTTGGTTTAGGTGCTGTTTTGAAGAAAGCAAGGATATTAGAGAAGGGAACGGGCCTTAGTAATGTTGAAGATAAGGTAGTGGACACACTAAATGTTTCATCAGAGGATCTTGTGAAAATTGTTTCTAAGGTAAAGCTACTTGTAGTATGTAATGCATCTTTTTTTAAATATATTTATGTGCTTAAGGTGCTTGTGATTTTGTCTGTAGAGAGTAACGCTTACCGTGGATGATGGTGTTGATTGGAATGTAATCGTTGCACAAGATGATTCTTCCGATGGGGTGCAAAAGAATGAACAAGAGGATCAGTCACCACCAGATTCTATTGGTCAGGAGGATGAACAAGAGGAGGAGAATCTCCCATATCCTCGTCGCCGAGGGCCGCGGATGGTCCAATTTTATGGCCAAAAGCGCGAGATTGTCCCAATTAGTGAATATAAGAAGATGACTAACCCATCTAGTGGCCAATCGCAGCAGACTATCCCATCTAGTGGCCAAGGACAGCAGACTATCCCATATAGTGGCCAAGGACAGCCGACTATTCCATATAGTAGCCAAGGACAGCCGAGTTACCCATATTGTGGCCAATGGCAGCCGAGTTTTCCATATAGTGACCAAGAGCAGCCAGATTTACCGTATAGTACCCAAGAGCAGCCAGGTTTCCCATATAGTGGTCAAGAGCAGTCGGGTTTCCAACACACTCCTTTTTTTGCCCCCCCGCAGCACCATCCTGCTGAGCAATTTTGGACATACAACCCTGATGGTTCTTCTCCTCCAGTATTGCCCTTACCTCATGCAGCTACCACTAGTCTCAATCATGGTCCTTCTCTTGACTCTCAGAATCCTCATCATCTAGGTTATGCTCCATATGGTCACGCTCCCATGTTTTCAGGATACTTTCATCCATCAGGCCCTCCCATGTTTCCAAGAGACTTTCGTCCACCAGGCCCTCCCTTGTTACTAGGAGACATTTGTCCACCAGGCCCAAATACTAGTGAGCAACATCTAGGATCTACTCCTTCTGTTCACACTTCCATGATTCCAAGACACTTTCATCCACCAGGTCCTCCCTTCCTTCCAGGAGACTTTCGTCCACCAGACCCAAATACTAGTGAACAGCATCTAAGATCTGCTCCTTCTCACTCTCCCATGTTTCCAAGACACTTTCGTCCACCAGACCCTCCCATGTTTTCAGGAGACTTTCGTCCACCAGGACTTCCCTTGTTTCCAGGAGACTTTCGTCCACCAAGCCAAGATACTAGTGAGCTGCATCTACGATTTGCTCCTTCTGATCTTCCTCCCATGTTTCCAGGACACTTTCATCCACCAGGCCCTCCCATGTTCTCAGGAGGCTTTCGTCCACCAGGCTCTCCCTTGTTTTCAGGAGACATTTGTCCACCAGGCCCAGATACTAGCGAGGAACATCTAGGATTTGCTCCTTCTGGTCACACTCCCATGTTTCCAAGACACTTTCATCCACCAGGCCCTCCCTTCTTTCTAGGAGATTTTCGTCCACAAGGACCTCCCTTGTTTCCAGGAGACATTCGTCCACCAGGCCTAGATACTAGTGAGCAGCATCTAGGATCTGCTCTTTTTGGTCCCACTCCAATGTTTCCAGGACACTTTCGTCCACCAGGCCCTCCTATGGTTCCAAGACACTTTCGTCCACCAGGCCCTCCCTTGTTTCCAGGACACTTTCGTCCACCAGGCCCTCCCTTGTTTCTAGGAGACTTTCGTCTACCAGGCCCAGATACTAGTGAGTTGCATCTAGGATTTGCTCCTTCTGGTCTTGCTCCTATGTTTTCAGGATACTTTCGTCCACCAGGCCCTCCCATGTTTCCTGGACTCTTTCGTCCACCAGACCCAAATACTCGTGAGCAACATCTAGGATCTGCTCCTTCTGGTCATGCTCCCATGTTTTTGGGATACTTTCGTCCCCTAGGCCGTCCCACGTTTCCAGGATTCCTTCGTCCCCCAGGCCCTCCCATGTTTCCAGGCCGTCCCATGTTTCCAGGATTCCTTCGTCCCCCAGGCCCTCCCATGTTTCCAGGATTCCTTCGTCCACCAGGCTCAGATTCTAGTGAGCAGCATCTAGGATCTACTCCTTCTGGTCACGTTCCAGAATACTTTCGTCCACCAGACCCTCCCATGTTTTCAGGATTCATTCGTTCACCAGGCCTAGATACTAGTGAGCAGCATCTAGGATCTCCTCCTTCTGGTCACACTCCCATGTTTCCAGGAGACTTTCGTTCACCAGGCCCAGATACTAGTGACCAGCAGTGAATCACAGGTACTTCTAAAATAGTGAAGTACCCGGCACGATACGTCTACTGTACTTCAGGTACTTTTTATGTATTGCCGGACGGGTAGAAATATGATTTATGGGAGAATATTATGGTTGTTGCTGTTAATATATGGCTGTGTCATCCTTGCCATAAAGATTAGCTTGTATAATTTGGTTAGACAGAAGTTTCTGTTGAAATGTCAGATATTAATTGCGTGAGTCATACTTCAAAGCCCAAAACTTAAGTAAGTGAAAATGTTACAGAGAAAAGTGCATAAGTTTATTATATTTTGCTGGTCAGAATTAAATAAGACCAATAGTTGAAAACTGAATATAAAAAAAGAACATAGATACTGAATATGAACATAGTGCATGGTTAAACAATAACTCTGATCAATTTCTTGATTAAATTTGTGTGTTGCAATTGGTTTTAAGGTACATTTGCTGCATTCTGAAATTGTTGAGAATCATAAGGGGACTTGGTGTATATGTTTTGTCATGTGATGTTTTGAGTTCTCAATATTACTTTAAATTGCAACTTTAACTGTGAAAGTTACACTAATGAGTGAGTTTATTCATGTATGTTTCATGTGCCTGTCTAACTGTCAAGGAACATTTTTCATCCGGCAACTTGAATATATGCGTTCGTTGGCCAGATGGATCGTGCTCAAGCGATATGTTGGAGAGCCCCAAGGCCAAGGGCGCGATTCGGATGAGAAGCTTTAGAGAATGATTGATCATTTGTTAGATATATTGTTTTTCCTTGAAACATTACGTGGTCTTGGTGATCTTAAGGTGTACTAATTTGATTGATTCATTTTTTTTTGACACATATTAGTCCTTTTGTGAGAATGGATGAAAAGTAAAAATAGCTTAAAATAAAATTATAGAAAAAAACATTGGAGATTTTGAATTGGTGTCATTGATATTCATGTAACTCTATCCTGGAAAAGTAGAGTTACATCACTCCTTTTTCAACATTCAAGTGTTCTTTCAATCTATTTAT